AAAAGCAGCTGCAAAAGGCGGCCCCGTCCAGGAAACACACAGCCAGGCAGACGAGCTCAGAGCCAGCTCCCATGCCAGAGTGATCACATCCAGCCAGTCACGGTCAGAGAAACAGGACTACACTGGAAAACAGGCTGATCTCCAACAACTATAAACAAGGGTGTTGATGGAAGCAGCACAGCTGATATTTCTCTCCAGGATGGTGTCACAGCTAAACAGGAACAGAGGAGGCAAAGCTACTCTAACATTAGAGACTGAACTAACAGATTCTGCAGTGTAGGAGAATAGAGAGAGAATGAAGCAGAATGATGGTTCAGTGGTCATAATGTGGTTAACTTTGGCTCTGCATTTCTGATCTAGAACTTATAAAATGAGAAAATAAATGTATTATTCAAATGTTCACAAATCACATTTATGATTTGCTGGTCACTGGTCTCCTGACACCCACCAGATTCCTGCAGCAGCTTGAGACCTGCAAAGGTGACACCTCCAGCTTATCTACAGACATTTATGATAGGGGATCAAATAAGGCTGGTAAATAATGTATTTATTAACACTTAGTCTTGCAAGTGCATGTGTTTAGATCAAGCAGGGAACATCCAAGGCCTCAGGAAGAGTTCCTCTCCTGTGTTTTTTGGTAGGCTCCTCTCAAGATTTAATGTCAGTTCTCTGTTAGTGTTTTAGTGAAAATATAATCTATAATGACTGTATGAAAAAAAAAAAAAACTTACAGATAAGCTTCACAGATTGTTTTCTTTTCCTGGTATTTGTTCAACAAACAGAAAATATCAGTGATAGTGAAGACTGACTGAGTAACTTTACATTACAGAAATTCAAAAGATGGAGGAACTGCTTAGCCTAACGAGGTCACTGCAGTCACTTCCTTCTGGTTTATATATCAGCACTTGACTGGAAATAAACAGATATTTCTCTCTGGTTTAGATGTGTTCTATGATGTCTGTTTTTTCTTTGGCAAACAGATCAGAACCTGAGGGCTTAAATGAGTTCAGATGTATTTGCTGGAAGGAGTAATGAATTCTTTCTATCGGCATTTCTCATTTGAAACCCCAGCTTGATCTTCCAGGCTTGATATTTTCATGGAAAGTTGCCCTTCTATAAGCTGTTTGTATGGTTTCCTTTGCTGATTACTTCAGACATTTCCTTTTAAGGCCTGGTGGCTCTAGAGCAGTACCAAACCAGAACCCAGCCTCTGCAGGAACACAGGAAACTTAAAAGAGAAGTCTAACAAACACACAGACTGTAATTGTGAATATGCCTTTGGCAGACCGTTATGACATTTATTAGAAGCCCCATCCTCTCTATTGTTCAATTTTTGTTGATTTCTAAAATAAGATACTTCCTAGCCAAAACTACATTCATACTAGCCAGAAATGTACATATAGATATTCTAAATTACATTGACATTTATTAGCTTAACTGAATATATATTTCAGATGTCTCAAATGCATTTCTGCCTATTCAAAATGAACATTTCAGATATCTAAAATAACATTCTTCCTATCTAAAATATACATTTCAGATATATGAAATGTAATTCTTACTAGTACATATAACTTCACGTTTCCCATTCATGCTTAATGGGCTTTCACTTCCAGATATCTAAAATAACATTCTTCCTATCTAAAAAAAAAACATTCTAAAACTGACTTCTGACGAGGATAAACTCTAATTTCAGATCTCAATGATAGAGTTAGTGTTACCGTAGTCATAATCATATCTAAAATATATTTCTACTATATTTAAATATATCAACTATTGATATATGACTAGTTAGATTGGAATTTCAGATTAGGTATGAAGAATTTTATTTTAGATATTCCTTTTGATGTTCATTTTGACTAAGAAGAACATCTGGATTACATATTCAGTCAAGCTAATAAATGTCAAAACAGCCTGCCATAACATATCTGAACTTGATTTTTTTCTGAGACAACAGCGCCTCCTGCTCAGTTCCTCGGCACTGCTGGCTTAAATGCCCTTTTAGTTCATTGGCTCGTTGTATTAAATGACGTGATTGGTTTAACTGGTTGTAGAGAAAGATAATCAGAAACCCACATCAGTATCAGTACTACCTCATAATTTCTTGTCAATTCTTTTGCAGAGTTTATTTCTGCATTTGATCAAGAAACTTGTGCAGACTAACGTGTAAAAGTCCCCAGATTCTAAACCTATTTACTAATTTTCTTCAGGGGTTGGAAGGACACAAAGGGAAAATAAATAAGAAGTTAGTAGAGAATATTTGCACTGTGGATTTAGGATTTATATTAATTCAAATTAATTATTAAAATGAATGCAAATGATATATCACTGAGAATATTTTTTTTTCAAGATTTTCAACAGAGATTAATGTTCATCAGTTGAATATGAGTAGAGCAAACATTTGAAACAACTATAGACAATGAGCACAAAAGTGCGTAAATAAGAGTTACAAGTGGTCCAAGAAACTTAAGTGCAGATACTATTGTTACAGGAAATGTTTAACTAGGTCCTCAGATTAGTGACTGTTAAGCATATTAATTCAATGAAATTTATTTATATAGCACCAATTCACAACAGATCTCATCTCAAGGCACTTTACAGAGACTATCCAGATGATACAGTTGGTTTTCTATCTGAGTAAACAAGCTGATTACATCGACTCCTTGACTCTTCAGCAATTCCTCACACCAAGCATGTTTGTAGGGACAAGCCTCTTTCTCTGGGAAGAGGCTTTGCAGCACCTGCTGCAGATCCAGCAGGTTCTTCAAAAACTTTTCCCCACTGCTATCAGACTGTTGAAATTCTGAACTCTAAAGTGGACACTGCATCACATTGTTTTGCACTACCAATGTTGCTGAACTTTTATAATCATTTTAAATAGGACACAACTCAATGTTTCAACTGCCTTCTGCACCATATTTATTCTTGCACTGCGTTTTTATATTAATGCTCTTTGCAGCATTATTTAAACTCGTTTATTTTTTTACCTACATTGTTTAAATTCTGATCACTGCTGCTCTTTATATTGGCAATGTTTATCTACTCCAACTGTAATATCATTACAACTCGTGTAAGCTGTAATCAACAAAATTCTGTTTTGTATGCACCCTGTGCATACAAAATGACAATAAAGTTTTTCTAAGTATAAGGTGACCCTGGCCAGGAAAGACACAGCCAGGCAGACGAGCTCCAAGCCAGCTCCCATTTCAGAGGATAAAAGAGTGCACATACAACTAGTCACAGTCAAAGAACCAGGACTACACTGACAAACAGCCCAAGCTCCAACATCTATAAACAAAGGCGTTGATGGCAGCAGCACAGCTGATATTTCTCTCGAGAATGGTGTCACAGCCAAACAGGAACAGACCAGATGAAAGTTAGAGGGTGAACAAATAAATACTCCAGAATAGAAGGAAGCAGAATGATGAAAAGTGGTAACTATGTCCTCCAGCAGTCTAACCCTATAGCAAGATAACTATAGATAAATCTCAGGGTAACCTGAGCCCCTTTAACTATGAGCTTCATGAAAGAGAAAAGTTTTAAGCCTAGTCTTAGAATAACACAGGGGTCTGCCTCACAGAATAAAACTTTTAGTTGGTTCCAAAGGAGAGGGACCTGGTAACTAAAAGATTTACCTCCCCTTCTACTTTTAGACATGCAAGGAACTACAACTAAAGCAGCAGATTATTCATTTTAGATGAAGGAAGATTATATATAGATCTATAACTGACCAATTCATCTAGTTTTTTTTTTCTCAAGTAAAGGTTTAATTACAGCTACCTAAATGGCCTGAGGTACAGGGATAGGTTAATCATATCTAAAACGGAGTAGGAAATAACAGGGAATATTGCCTTAAATGACTTGGTTGGGACTGGAACTAACATATAATTGAAGACTTAGAAGAAAACAGTTCTGCTCTGAACTCTGACAGTTTAACTAGATCAAAATAGTCTATAGCAATATTACATTTGGATTAAGACTAAGAGTTGTTTATTTGCATTATCTACAAGCTGTGTTAGTTGGTCTGGATGCTGAAAAAAGGCATCTGAATTTTTTAAGGTGGGAGCTGTTCAGAGTAATGATCAAATGTTGATCAATTATCACAAAACACCAAAAACTTTGTAGAACAGACTGAAATGTCTGAACAGAGGTGTTGAACTTTGGCTGGAATGAACCACAAGGCAGGGTTTCCATCAATCCCACTTTTTTCTGCATTTTCATACAAGGCTGCCCTGTGGGAGGGAGTCCTGCTGGAAGAATGTGTCTTGGAGATTTTGTTGTTTGGCAGGAGAACAAACAAAACAGCCTAAATATCCTCACCACACCAGTTGCTGGAGGCTAAAGGGACAAACCTTTTGGCATTGCTATCATCAGGCAGTCTTTAATAGGACAATACTAGTTTGTTGTCGGTAATGGCACTGAGAGGGAGTTGATCTACCAAATAGAAAAATTGCTGATATCTGCTTAGAGGGTTGCTGGCTGCAAAAAAAAAGAAAAAAAAAAAAAGAAAAAATAACTAACTAGAAATTGACTGAAAGAAAAAGCTCATAGTGCAAACAAGTGACTTGATATTTAGCTATTTATATTAAAGATGACACAGGTGGATGTCTTTGAACATTATTGGTCAAAATGTTTTTTTTAATTCAAAATGAGAGGCTTTAGTTGGTGCAAACTTCTTATATTATTCTCTTCTTTCTAAACTTGTTTGTTGCTGTTATTTGCATCTGTTCTTTTGTATGAAACTGAAAATGTAAAATATACAAAGAAAAAAAAACAGTAAATACAATCATAAGAATTATCGACCACATAACTCGTTCGGAAAACTCCTTTTTCTCTTTTCCTGAGGAAGGTTAATAATAATCATTTTTGGGTTATGTTTGATATGTTCCATTCCACTCTGTTGGATGACCTGTTTAGAAATCCGTAAAAACTAGGAACTGAGGAGGAAACCTTATTGTTGAACTTTAGGAAACTCTCCAAGGGATGAGATGATGACCGGGTTGGGTCTGTATTGGGAGTTTATTTTAATCAGAGGACAAATAACAACTAAAAAAAAACATGTCAGAGGACGGGTTCTGCACGGTTTGATCCACATATCAGGCAGAGAACCAATCTTAGACCATCCAATCCTCCATCAGCAGAACTCTGACACAACCGGTAGAGTTTATTTCACTTAATGATAAAACCATGGTTCACTTTGGCTTCTGGACTAAATGGACTATTGCACTGAAATATTTACACAGCTGGGAGCATCATCATCATCAGATTGCTCCTTCATCATTGCAGTCGCCAGGGAAACATAGGCCCAGCCTGCAAACTGGACCACCAGGGACAAAGTTAAATCAAACCCAACAGAAGCAGCTGATTGTCAAAGGCACTGAGGGGCGACACAATGAAAACAAAAATCAGGACCGTTTAAATCAACAGTTATTAAAACCAACAACAGTAGTTTGGACAGTTGGTGCTGGAGATCAGGAATTCATGCCATAGACACAAAGGCTGAGAATTTCATACTACTGGTACTGATGCTGAGGAGTTTGGATCAATGTAACCAATAGTCGGGAGTTCATAGTATCAGAACCGTTGGTCAGCGGTTCGAAACCTGGGCTCTGTAATATAACCATATATATAAGCACAAATATAAACATGAAGCCGGTTTATTTAGTTTTTTGGACCTGTAAAGAATCGGGTTCCGCTGAGTTCAGCACAAGCCCATCTGAACCACCAAAAGTAGTCCTAGATCACAAACCAGCTCTTGTCCATTGTCCCGGACCTCTGTAAACAGTCTGTTGCCATGGAGACAGGCTCATCTTGCTGCCCCAGGGTCCAGGTAGTACACGTTGACCAGGTGGCGGTTAAGGTGACGCCGGTACTGGGTCTCCAGTGGGAATGTGCGGTCACAGAAGATGCAGGTGTGACTCTTGAGTTCAGTGGGGGTGGGGATCTCTTCAGTTGGTGTTTCTGGATCGTTAGGCATCTTCCCTGAAGTGGCGCCGGTACCATTAAGGCCAGAGTCATCGCTGCCCTCAGAGGCACTGTCGCTGATGTCACTTCCACCTTCGTGGCTGCTGTGGATCCCCTCGTCATCCTCTGCCTCTGCTGGCTTGCTGCGCTGGCTGGGAAGAACCAGACGTGGTGGCAATGAAGGTTTGATGAATGTTGGATGGGACTCCTCCTTGATCCTCTCTGGCTGTGTGCTTGGAGAATCATCAGATTCTGGTGTGGATGGTCCATCTTTGGAGGAACCAACTTGACCAGCAGCAGTTTCACTTGAATGAACAGAATCTTCCAAATTCTCTGATGACAGACTTGTTTTAGAGTTTAAATCATCCGGTTTTGGACCCACTGCTGGTTGCAGACCTGAGGTCCTCCTGGTGGAGGTTCTGGTCTTTTTCTTCTTGGCTGGAGTCTCTCTGCTAGTCTTCTTAGTCAGACTGGGCATCACATCGGTAATATCTGAAGATGTCTTGGACAGCAGCTTCTCATCAGCTGGAGCCTTTAGACACTTCTTCTTGGAAGACTTCTGTGAAAGATCCAAAACCTGTCCTGCTTTCCTTTTGAGGGGTTTTTCTTTTATCCTCTTTCCTCTCTGACTTTTCTCAGGGCAGTTGGGTTTGTTGGTGTAAGTCTGTTCTGGGGTACTCTCTTTATTAGTGGGTTCTGGAGCGTTCTTGGTATCAGCTGGTTCTGGAGCCTTCTCGGTATAAGCGGGTTCTGGAGACTTCTTGGTATCAGCCGGCTCTAGAATCTTCTTGGTATCAGCGGGTTCTGGAATCTTCTCAGTATCAGTGAGTTCCGGAGCCTTCTTGGTGTCAGTGGGTTCTACAGCATTCTTGGTGTCAGTGGGTTCTGGAGTCTTATTGGACCACTTAGCTGCAGATTTCCTGCTTTTAAAAAGGCTTTTTGTCTTCTTGAGTGACGTCATCTTCAAGACTTTCTCAGACTTTCTGTCTGAAGACATCTGCTGCTCAGAACTTTTTACAGTGGGCTGTTCTTCCTGTGATGCAAGTTCCTCCAGTTGTTTTTCCAATGATGGAGATTTCCCTCTTTGGTTCTGAGAAACTGTTTTCTCAGTGAGAACCCTTCTGGCCCGTTTCTTCACTTTGTTTTCAGAAATCTCAGCACTGCTCTGGACTTCTTTCCCATCCACATTCTCCACAGGATTCTCCTTGACCTTCCTCTGCCTTATTGAGACTTTTTTCTCCTCCTTTGCCTTTGAGGGTTTCTCCTTCTCGGACGAGGTGTTGCGTTTCTTTGGAGCCTTGTCAGGAGCCTCGCTCTGTGGTGGGGGTTCGAGGCTGGGTCTGCTGCTCCTCCTGATGGACAGATTGATGGGGCTAGAGTCGTCTTCTTCATCCACATCCATGTCCTCCTCCAATGCAGGGGAGTCATCCATCTTGGCTGCTTTGGACTCCAACTTATCATCTGTACCTTCAGGACCAGGTTTCTTCACTCGAAGCTTGACTTTAGACACGTCCAGGTCCACGTTGCAGCCGGAGTGCCGGGACTTGATGTGGTACTGCAGGTTGCACTTCTTGGAGGCGGCGTACTTGCAGAGCGGGCAGAGGAACTGCCGCGGGTTCAAGTGCAGCTCTACATGCTTCTTAAAGTTGCTGCGGTCTGCCGTTTTGTACTCGCAGTATGGGCAGGACAGAGGCTTGGGACCGTTGTGGACCTGCCGGGCGTGGCGGGTCACCTCGTGCTGATTGGCGGCAAGGTAGCTGCAGCTCTCACACTTAAAAGGACGCTCACCTGCAGAGAGGAGAAGATGTCAGAGAGCCTCACCAGACCCAAATGCATTATTCCAAGAGGAGCTTCTAAGGCTACGTTCACACCGCAGCCTGAAGTGACCCAATTCCGATTTTTTTGCCCATATGTGACCTGTATCTGATCTTTTTATGACAGTCTGAACGACACAGATCGGATTTTTTCAAATGCGACCCAGGCCACTTGGATATGTGGTCCTGAATCCGATACGTATCTGATCTTTTCAAATGCGACCTGTGTCTGTACGGCCAGGTCGCATTCATCCGACCTACACGTCATTGATACTTGACAAATATTACTAAACGTTACTAATCTGCGTCCTACTAAGCGGAGGCGGGAAAAACTAACAACCATGGCGGAAGATAACACAGAGAGCAGTCAATGGAGAGAAAGTGAGGTTGCTGACTTAATTCATATTTAGAAAGCTCGATTCAGACCAAACTCGAAGGGTCTTACCGGAACCGGGGGAGGGTCTTTCTTTTTGATCTTCTTAAAAAGATTTCGTTCGTAATGTGCCTGCTCCTGTTGGAGAAGAACTTAAAGAACGCAATATACGCTGCGGTATTACGAGTCATGTTTACTTCCGCAAACACTGAGGACGCTTGCTACGTGTGACGTCATCGCGTCCTCGAGTGCGCATGCGGGACACTTCGGTTGGACGCATTCAGTTCACACAGTAGATCACATACAAGTCGCATATACTTGGAAGTGTGAACGGACACGCAAAAAAATCCGATTTCACAAAAAAATCGGAATTGAGCATTAAGGCCTGCAGTGTGAACGTAGCCTAAGAGATAATTTCCACTCTGTATTAACCAACATAAGAAACGGACTGACTATATTTAGCAGCCAGGTTCTGATAAACTCTGATTTGAATCTGATAAAGAACTTCCAGTGGACTTTGGTTCTACAAATTAAACCCTTCTGTGGATCGATGTAACTCACTTCCATATTTGTTTTAAACTTACTAAAGACTTTAAAACTGAAACAAGTGTGTTCATGCAAGGGTTCATGTCCAAAACTCATCAACCACACACACACCCACACACAGACCAGGCTGTTAAGTTACCGTGTTAATCCATCAGGGCAGCGTCAGTAAAAACAAAAAGATCAACAGTTAGTAACAGTAGAAACATCATTCTCACTGTTCACCTGCACGGCACGGGGTCTACTGGTGTTCCTACATTTTTCTGTTCAGATTCACCAAGAGTTAAACATCTTCATACCCATAGGACTTTTTTCTGAATAAGCAGACTCCAAACTTTCGCCTCCCAAGGACTGGACTTCCTCTCTCTGAGGCGTTAAAGGGCGGTCCGAATCCAACATTCAATCCTCTGGGTCGGCTCAAGTGCTTCCAGTTGAATATTTCTCAACTGTGTCACAAGAAGTGCCTTGATACTTTAATGGCTCACACTGGTTGGAAACATGAGGTACCAGATAAAACAGGGTCCAGTACCTGCCCGGGGCCCCGGTGGTCAGGAGCCACTACTTTAAAGTTGAAAGGTATAGAAAATTCCTTTTTCCCCCGCTCCAGATGCAGCTGGATCAATAAACCCTGAATGATATCACCCCCTAAGGGTGTGATGTTTTACAAAATTCAAATATTTAAAGTAATGTTGAGATCCAGCAGGAGGAGAGATCTACTTCAGTAACAATATGACTTGATCTCTTGGGCTAGCTTTCTTCCACATCTCATCCAGGTGTCACAATCTCATCCCAAACTATCTGAAGCAGATCTGATCATGTCCCAGTAGTCTGACAACCAAAACCTCCCATGGAGAGTATTGTTGAAGGAGGTAAGGAACCCGTCAGACGGTGCTCCCCATCATCATCTGTCCATTTCTGTCTCACACTCACCTGAGTGAGTCCTCATGTGACGGGTTAGGTGAGTCTTCTGGGAGCTCGAGTAGTCACAGTAAAGACACTGGAATGGACGTACACCTGTCAAACGGAAAGACAAACCATGACATGAAGCACCAGAGAGTAATACGGCACTAGGGGAACAAGAATGTGTTTCTAAAGAGGTGACTTTAGGACAGAGGGACGCAGGATAAATCATGGCTGAGAAACAGACGGACATGGGGACAGAGACAGAATGAGGAAGGTACCTGTGTGGGTACGAATGTGCTGTATGTAGTTGCTCTTGCGGTCGGAGAAGTAGGAGCACTGACTGCAGGTGTGCAGCTTGCTGGGGAAATGATTCCTCAGGTGTTTCCTCCAGTGGTACTGACTGACTGTGGTGTATGCACACAGCGTGCACTTAAACACCCTGCAGACACACACAGGTAAGCACTCATCACTGGGCATCAGGACTGATTTTCTGGTGGTGGTCACAGGTGTTCCTACCTGTGGTCGTCGCCCTCCTTGCTGTGGTGCTTCAGGTGAGAGATGTAGTGGTCGTAGCGGTTGGTGTTGTAGCCGCAGCGCTCGCACCTTATCAGCCCTTTGATGTCTCCTGCAACTTCGTCCCCTTTATGCTCCGCCTCTCCGCTTTGGTTTGCCTCCCTGCCTGACAAAACCTCCCCAGACTCCGCCTCTTTGGCTTTGCTCTTGCTCCGCCCCTCCACCTGGTTCACCACCACCATCTTACTTATACTATGCATACTCAGGTGCTTGACAAATTCCTGCTCATTCTGCCCCTGAAAGTGACACGGCTTGCAGCAAAATGGCTTCTTCTTCTGTGCGCTGTCAGCCAGGGTGGAGGGGCCGTCTTTAGCCTTCATCCCTGGCCGATTAGAGACAGTAGAGGAGCGAAGCTTAATGGAGGGGGGCTGGTTTTCAGCTGCGGGGTTCTCCTCATCCTCTTTGCCGTCTCCAGCGACAGCTGGCTGGACAGCTGAGTTTGGAGACTCTGGGTACTCCACGATGCACACCTCTCGCTGGTTCTGGTTATCATAGCTGTACCTGATGGGAAATGGATGAAAATTAAGAGTCGGGTAATTTGGAAATAGATGAAAGTGACATACACTTTCTCCTCACCTGATAACACCTTCGTCTTCGTCTTCACTGTCAGAGTAGCTGGACCCCACTGTCTTCAGTTCCATCATCTCCTTTTCTTCAGCCACGCTACTGTCTCCAACCTCTGGCGCCGTCACCGCCGCCACATTGGCCAGCATCACCAGTTGAGGAGCGGGCAGCATGTTTCGGGGCAGGTCGCTGAAACCTTGTCCGTCCTCTGCCAATGAGACGCCTACAGGGAACATCCCACTTGAGAATAAGGTCTGAGTCGCCATGGTGATCTCGGCCCCACCGACAGGCAGCTGCAGAAACCAAACAGCCATGGTTAAAGGGGGTGGCGGCATCTTTTAGATTCAAATCACCGGGCTAAAATAAACTCTCAATTTCTGTGAGAAGCTCAGCTGGAAAGCTTATGAAACTATGCCGCCGAATCTAAGATTGAGAGGTCTAAAGGGTCATCATTTCACCAACTGTGTCATCATCTAATATGATCCAACTGTGACTGTCCTATGGTATCTAGGTAGGTGGCCATTTTGAAGCTGGGCCACAATCAGCACCTCACAAAATGTAAGAGAAATCAGGGAAATGTTGTGTTATTTAGAAACTTCAATAACAAGATAAAGTTTCATCACGACAGTAACATTTAAAGAAATTGTGTTTAATAAGAAAAAAGCAAAATCCAAACAGAGCCCAAATTCTAAACAGAACTTTTCATCTGGGGCTGAAGTTGGTCTCTGATTCTAGGCCACTTTTAAGGGAAGTGGACGAAAAAGGAATCAGCCCTGGTTTTAACGGTTTACTAGACTGAATCACTGTAGATTGCAGTTTAAAAGGCCAGAGAGGTTTATTTATATAATAATAAGACATAGGGAGGTGATCGTAGCCTTTACTGGATCTTATCTTAGACCTTTCTCAAATGTGTTAAGAGTCAATTTTATGACCCAAAAGGTCCTAACGGACAGATGAGGACTGGATTAGATTAACATAATAGGAACTTTTGAAGTTCTACAATCTGCGCTAAAAACTCAGTCAAAGGACGTAACGGAAAAGTTGTTTGTATTTGTGCCAATCTACGGCCCGGTTCTGCTTTGGAGCGGTGTCAGAGGTCGGTAAAAGCTCCAATCAAACTCAGTGAAGCACTTTATTAACTGGACCAGCTGCTATAAATCACACGCTGACTTCAGTTTACACTTTCTATAAATTCGGAACCATAACAGAACTTTAACAAAGTTCAGTTCCCTGTTTTGTGAAGCTTTTGAAACGGGGTCCGGGTCTGATCCAGATGCTTGGGCCTTGCCCCGAGACTTGGAGTGTTAGCCATGGTCCTGATCAGCCCCGGACAGCGCCTCTGAGCTCCACCTCACCGACTCCATTTTCCCCGGACTGCTCTAACTTTCTGCGGCCGTAATCCCGAAAAACAACCGAAGCGAACCGCTCTCTGTCCTCCAGATCCCCCTGTTCACTCTCTCCTCCTCACCTCCGCACTTCAAGAGACTTTTCTGAAGATTTTCCTGCTTTCAAAAGCTTTCCCTTCGACGAAGAGGGCAGATTGAAAAGTAGGCAGAAGTTTCCGCACATTCCTCTACAGTGACGTTGTGTTTTGACGTCAGCGCGTCGCTCCGTACTTTTGTAGTTTTTCAGTGAAAATGTTGGCGTTTCATATTACAGAACAAGATGGAGGATTAGGGCCACTGAAAAAACAAAAAAAGTTAACTGATTTTTAAATTTAATTTCAGTATAATAGGAGAAAAAAGTCAGAATTCTGACTTTAATCTTAGGATTTTGACTTTTTTCTCAGAATTCTGACTTTAAACTCAGAATTCTTAAAATTTTCTCAGAATTCTGACTTTAATCTCAGAATTCTGACTGTTATCTCAGAATTCTGACTGTAATCTCAGAATTCCTACTTTAATCTCAGAATTCTGAAATCTTTCTTAGAATTCTTACTTTTTTCTCAGAATTCTGGCTTTAATCTCAGAATTCTGACTTTAATCTCAGAATTCTAACCTTTTTCTCAGAATTCTGATTTTAATTTCAAAATTATGACTATAATCTGATAATTCTGACTTTTTTCTCAGAATTCTGACATTTTACTTAGAATTCTGACTTTTTTTTCTCAGAATTCTGACTTTAATCCCAGAATTCTGACTTTTTTTTCTGAATTCTGACTTTTTTTTTTTACAGTATTTTGGATCTTAATGTAGATTGGCACCATGAAGGAAGAGATGTGGGAGCCCTCAGCTTCACTGACAAAGATGTGAGTTGTTTGGGAGGGCCAGTAACACATTGGTGGAAAATGACGAAATTAGGTTACTTTTAGTAGTAGGCAGAAGTTTCCACACATTCCTCTACAGTGAGGTTGTGTTTTGACGTCAGCGCGTCGCTCTGTTACTTTTGTAGTTTTTGAGTGAAAATGTAGGCGTTTCATATTACAGAACAAGATGGAGGATTAGGGCCACTGAAAAAAGAAAAAAAAGTTAACTGATTTTTAAATTTCATTTCAGTATAATTGGAGAAAAAAGACAGAATTCTGACTGTAATCTCAAAATTCCTACTTTAATCTCAGAATTCTGAAATCTTTCTTAGAATTCTGACTTTTTTCTCAGAATTCTGACTTTAATCTCAGAATTCTAAACTTTTTCTCAGAATTCTGACTTTAATCTCAGAATTCTAAACTTTTTCTCAGAATTCTGACCTTAAGTTCAGAATTCTGAGTTTAATCTCAGAATTTTAACCTTTTTTTCAGAATTTTGACTTTAATTTCAGAATTATGACTATAATTTGATAATTCTGACTTTTTTCTCAGAATTCTGAGATTTTTCTCAGAATTCTGACTGAAAAAGTCAGAATTCAGAGAAAAAAGTCAGAAAAATCTTAGAATTCTGAGATTTTTCTTAGAATTATGACTATAATCTGATAATTCTGACTTTTTTCTCAGAATTCTGACATTTTACTTAGAATTCTGACTTTTTTTCTCAGAATTCTGACTTTAATCTCAGAATTCTGACTTTTTTCTCTGAATTCTGACTTTTTTTTTACAGTATTTTGGATCTTAATGTAGATTGGCACCATGAAGGAAGAGATGTGGGAGCCCTCAGCTTCACTGACAAAGATGTGAGTTGTTTGGGAGGGCCAGTAACACATTGGTGGAAAATGACGAAATTAGGTTACTTTTAGTAGTAGGCAGAAGTTTCCACACATTCCTCTACAGTGAGGTTGTGTTTTGACGTCAGCGCGTCGCTCTGTTACTTTTGTAGTTTTTGAGTGAAAATGTAGGCGTTTCATATTACAGAACAAGATGGAGGATTAGGGCCACTGAAAAAAACAAAAAAAGTTAACTGATTTTTAAATTTCATTTCAGTATAATTGGAGAAAAAAGACAGAATTCTGACTTTAAGCTCAGAATTCTGACTGTAATCTCAGAATTCTGAAATCTTTCTCAGAATTCTGACTTTAATCTCAGAATTCTAAACTTTTTCTCAGAATTCTGAGATTAAGCTCAGAATTCTGAGTTTAATCTCAGAATTCTAACCTTTTTCTCAGAATTTTGACTTTAATTTCAGAATTCTGACTATAATTTCATAATTCTGACTTTTTTCTCAGAATTCTGAGATTTTTCTTAGAATTCTGACTTTAAACTCAGAATTCTGACTTTTTTCACAGTATTTTGGATCTTAATGTAGATTGGCACCATGAAGGAACAGATGTGGGTTGTTTGGGAGGGCCAGTAACACATTGGTGGAAAATGACGAAATTAGGCAAATTTTTACGTGTCAAAGGGGTCCCCGGTGATGCTATTTCATTAAAGGAAGAGCAGAAGGTGATTAAAACAAGAAAGCTAGTCTCTAAAACAGACATGTGTTAGCTGTCAGATTTTAGTCAGAATTCTGAGAAAAAAGTTGGAATTCTGAGATTCAAGTCAGAATTCTGACATCTTTTCCCATATTAAACTGAAATAATATTGAAAAATCAATTAACTTTTTTTTTTTTTCAGTGGCCCTAAACCTCTTCCATAGAACAATCAGACGTAGATGTATTAGAAATATAGATCTGGCTGTTAAAGACAGGCTCTGTGTATGCACCCTGATGCTCTATCTCTCAGGTTATTTTCCCTCAAAAGAGATCACTCGGGACAAACTCTTTAAATAACATTTCATAATTATATGTATTAAATAAACAGGAGATTCTGATAGAAATTGTAATCTTACTCAGATCAGAGAAATTGCTTAGAATGCAAAGAAGGCAGCTGCTCACCTCTGGGCTCTCCTCTCAGGAATTGGCCAGGATTAACAGTTAAAAATTTTATACATCTCCAGGCTGCCACATCATCTTATTTTACATCATACACATTAGCAGATGATTAGACATCCATGGCTCCAGCCTTATCAAAATATTACACTTAGCTGAAGGACACCGCTCTCATTCCATGTCCAAATCTTTGCCACATACAAAATAAAGATTACAACTGTATATCCAGAACAAGGAACTGTCCTAAGTAGATTAAAACATCAGTTCTGGCACGCAACATGCAGTCAATACCAAGGTCTAATAAACTCACACATCTTCAATGACAATTATACTAACAGGCTTTTGTTCTGTTCTGGCACAGTATGAACATACAAAGAACTTAGGACATAATCAATGGGATTCAAATGGGTTCTGTCTCAAATCTACTTATGGTTCTGAAAAAGTGTTAAACAGGTCTGCACAACAAAAAATTCAGGTTATTAAGTTGTACGTGATTTATTTCTTAGATATGAAGCCAAACTGTAAAACCTGTAGGTAGAAAACATGATCCATCAGCTTTTAGAACCTGCCTGTAGAACCTCATTTAGCACTAGCAGTGGTGTCAAGTAACGAAGTACAAATATTTTGTTACTGTACTTAAGTATTTAGGTATCTATACTTTACTCCATTACTTTTTTTCTCCTTACTTCCGACTTCTATCTGTACTTTCTATCCCTTAGATTTTATAAACAAACTTTACTCCTTACTCTTGGCTTTTGTTTAATGATTATAAATATTTATTTCACTTCATCCAATGCAGATAATTGGCGCCATCCACATCTAGTAAAAACTGTTGTAATTGGATGAGTCATATAACGCAAACACTCATTGGTTAGCTAAAGGAAATCATCAGAAGCAAGCAGGTGTTCTTCAAACTGCAAAGGTGAATTGTCTATGCCAGGCATCCCCAAACTCGTTATAATGATTGGAGTAGACCAAAAGCTTGTTAATCAGCTTTCAATTAAAATCAGCTGTGCTGGAGCAAGGAAACCTCTAAAACCTGCAGGACAGGGGGCCTTGAGGACCGAGTTTTGTTATGCCTGGTCTATGCCATGCTACAATGTCGGATTCAGAAAAGATGTTGAAATGTCTGAAAGGTCGGACACAGGTGAGAGCGTATCGGGAAATGGAGAACAACAAGACCTCCTTCATCCTTGGCCCTATCTCAAATAAATTTTCGAAATAGTCGAAAAATTGAGCTTGTGCTCTGAGAAGGTTGCAAGTACCCGGTTTGATAACCTGCATTCTGGGTTCCTGAGCAAGACTCTTAACCCCATACTGCTCCATGGGTGTCAACCATTGGCAGCCCACTGCTCCCCAAGTGGATGGGTTAAATGCAGTGAGTGAATTTCCAAATTTTGAGCCAATAAAAGATTTAACTTTCATCTCCTTTGTCCCAGACATTATCCTGAATAAATTTGCTGTAACATATGCTGCTATCTTGTTCTAGTCTTTATCTTGTTTTAGTGTTTATCTTGTTTTAGTCTTTAACCACTTAAACCTGACACACTGATTCTGTCTTTCCAGTATGCTTGTCATCACTGATAATCAGAAGATAGACGTTGTGTTTTATAGGAAAAGTAACATCTCCAGCTAGAATATGAACATTAGCATGGTATTCGGTAGGTATGCGGGCAGCATGTTTTCATGGGGGCACAGAAAAGCATGAAGGAAAACAACCAGGCAAGGTATTCAAATCAAATATATTAAAAGAGCTGCATGAATTGAAATTTCTTCAATTAGGTTTAATTGAAATCATATGTCTTCTAACTGAAAATATTCATTTTTGGCTCAAAAATGTTTATTTAAATTATCGTTAAAAGTAAAAACCCCTTAGCATAGCAAAAAAGCAACTCAAGAAATTGTAGCTATATGAATATATTTAAAAAACATAACGTAAAGCTATTTAGAATATTAGGTCAATATACATTCATCATTTATGAATTTTATATATTTTTAACTTAATTTAAGTTAAAATGATAGTTTTCTATAAAATTAGAAATAGAACTCAAGAAAAAACTGAGCAATTCAGCTGTAAAAGTATTTTTTTTATTTGTTTTGAAAAAAACAGATTAAAACTTGGATCCTATCTCAATATCAATGAAGCCATCACCTTATTGATTTTAAATAATTAGTAAAACAGAATTTTTTAAAGAAAAAAATTAAATAGATCAAATGACCTATCAGAAACCCTGTCTGCTCCAGCGCATATCATCATTAGAATTTATCTTAGTATTATCTGTTTACTACAGGGGCCACAACAGGGGCCAGGACATGATCTACAGGGGCACTGGCCCCCGTTGGCCCCTGTCTAGAACAGCCCATGTTAAAAAAAAGTATTCCATTTATTCATGTTAATGAATGAATGTTAATGTCACGCTGACTCTGTGACTGTAATCTCGCTGTCAATCAATGTGAATGAATTTCCACAGGAAGTGTGTTTTAAACTTTTTCAAAATAACATTATTCATTTAAATTCAAACAGCTTCCTTCAAAAAGTGACGCTAAATGTTTCTGGCTGCTGTGGTGTGCAGAATGGGGTGCAGAGGCAGCTCAGAGTTGTTAACACATATTTAAAGTAGTAAAGTTTCTGATTTAGAACGCCTTTGAACCATTTATATATCTGTTTGCTTTATAAATCTACTGATATAAACTGTAGAGATTTTGAAGGACATAAACACAAAGCGCATTGGACTTTACACGATCGCATAGTGTTATTTAACATTGTTTATATATTTATTTATTTTTTCTCTGCGATGGACTGGCGACCCCTGATCTCTATTATTCACTGGATTGATGATTGCCCGAAAAAAGTGAAGCCACCGTCCGCCATGTTGGTACTCCCCACTTCTACGGAGACACGCAGTAAAAGTGCCTACATGTGTAGCATTTGGCTGCAAAAACAAGCAGTTTCCTGGCTGTAGGAAGACTATCCACAGGTAATTTCACAGTCAGTGGATGTACTAACCAAGAAAATCTATATATACCCCGATGTATCTATACTATGTAGCGTAGCTGTTAGTCTGCTATCTTGGACTAAGACATAATGACTAAATTAGCCATTGACATGTCTAACGTTAAAAAAATAGTATAGTAAACAGAAAGTAATTCACTGTGAAATGTCAATATAGTAATTCTTTATTAAGTAAATGACGCTGTCGTTTTTGTGGTGTTTGTTGCATGGTTGTTTGTTGTATAGTCATGAAAAAGTCGTGCTGAAACATATTGCATGTTACATTGAAAAAAAAATAAACTCAAATATTTTATATATATATATATATATATATAATTGTCTAGAGCTGTTTTAAACGGAATTCATTTTTGTATACACAAGTGCAAATGTAAAAAAAATAATAAATACATGTAAATTACGTGTTCATTTAACACACATCTGTATTATTATGCTCCATTAACATACATTTTATTATGATTGATTTGTAAAATATGTATATATTACATAATCTATCGACTTCATTGACTTCATAATGACTATGCAATGTGATCTGCCTTTTTTTTTATTATAAGTTACTGTAATCTACTTATGCTATGGAACAGCAAGTGTGTGTCAAAGTGATTAATTTATTTTTATTTTAAAAATCTTAATTCCCCCTGAAACATCAAACTAGGGAGTACCAATATGGCGGCTGGTGGCTTCACTTCAACCCTGTACTACCAACGGGCGATCAGCAGTCCAGTGAATTAATAGAGATCAGTGACCAGCAACCCTCGCGGCCCCGCTTGAGATAAGTTTGAAGGAAAATAATCTTTTGATTATTTAAAGTTGCTCGATTCTTTGGATTTGGATTATATAAAAAAATGCTACAGACACAGAATACCATCCAGGGATTTATTCACATTATTGACTACTTTCTATGAGGTGCCCCCAGGGACATAAATCAGAATTAACTTGCATATACACATATTAAATTACACTCTTCCATATAATATACTGAAAACCTCACACAAACACTAGTAAAAAGCTCTCACATAAACTAATGAAAACATTTACCTCTTATATAATCTACTCAAAAGCTCTCATACAAAGTAGTGAGAACTGTTCATATAAACTGGTGAAAAGCTTTACCTTTCATACACACTACTAGAAAGCTTTCATATACACTATTAAAAAGCTCTCATATACACTATTAGAACGCTCTCATATACACTATTAGAACGCTCTCATATACACTATTAGAACGCTCTCATATACACTATTAGAAAGCTGTCATATACACTATTAGAACGCTCTCATATACACTATTAGAAAGCTCTCATATACACTATTAGAACGCTCTCATATACACTGTTAGAAATCTCTCATATACACTATTAGAACGCTCTCATATACACTTAGGACGCTCTCATATACACTACTAGAACGCTCTCATACACGCTACTAGAAAGCTCTCATACACACTACTAGAACGCTCTCATATACACAACTAGAACGCTCTCATACACACTACTAGAACGCTCTCATATACACTACTAGAACGCTCTCATATACACTACTAGAAAGCTTTCATACATACTACTGAAAAGCTATTAGCGGATTTCAGTTTCCCATTTCCCAGGCCTTTCGGATCATTTCTTGGTTTAAAAAAAAGTCGTAAAATTATACAAGGTTGAGACATTTAGTTTAATCAGCCGCTGTTGTTTACAAAATTGTAAAATAAAAAAAATTAATGCGGTTTTCTTATGCTGTTTTGTGTTGTTTTTTTAAACGCCAAGAGAATCAGTCTCTTTCCAAGTTTTTTCACTTCAGCCTGACAGAAATAAAAGTCAAGTCACCAAATACCAAATTTGTATTTATAATTTTTTATTACTGATATAAGATGATGGGAAGTGCCTGATAGCAGTTCCATAATATGGAAACAAATTAATTTAGCTGCAAATCTTAAACTGTGTTTATTCCTCTCTTCATCAACAACAAACCATCTGGATTCGGTGATATTTGAGCAATGTTTGCCTAAATTAAAGGAGGGGGACCATATATTTTAGCTTTCTAATAGTGTGTATGAAAGCTTTCCAGTAGTGTGTTTGAGAGCTTTCTAGTAGTGTATATGAGAGCGTTCTAGCAGTGTATATGAGAGCTTTCTAGTAGTGTATATGAGTGCGTTCTAGTAGTGTATATGAGAGCTTTCTAATAGTGTATATGAGAGCGTTCTAATAGTGTATATGAGAGCGTTCTAGTAGTGTATATGAGAGCGTTCTAATAGTGTATATGAGAGCGTTCTAATAGTGTATATGAGTGCGTTCTAGTAGTGTATATGAGAGCTTTCTAATAGTGTATATGAGAGCGTTCTAATAGTGTATATGAGAGCGTTCTAGTAGTGTATATGAGAGCGTTCTAATAGTGTATATGAGAGCGTTCTAATAGTGTATATGAGAGCTTTCTAATAGTGTATATGAGAGCGTTCTAATAGTGTATATGAGAGCTTTCTAATAGTGTATATGAGAGCGTTCTAATAGTGTATATGAGAGCTTTCTAATAGTGTATATGAGAGCGTTCTAATAGTGTATATGAGAGCTTTCTAGTAGTGTATATGAGAGCGTTCTAATAGTGTATATGAGAGCGTTCTAGTAGTCTATATAATAGCTTTCTAATAGTGTATATGAGAGCGTTCTAGTAGTGTATATGAGAGTTTTTTAATAGTGTATATGAAAGCTTTCTAGTAGTGTGTATGAAAGGTAAAGCTTTTCACCAGTTTATATGAACAGTTCTCACTACTTTGTATGAGAGCTTTTGAGTAGATTATATAAGAGGTAAATGTTTTCACTAGTTTATGTGAGAGCTTTTTACTAGTGTTTGTGTGAGGTTTTCAGTATATTATATGGAAGAGTGTAATTTAATATGTGTATATGCAAGTTAATTCTGATTTATGTCCCTGGGGGCACCTCATAACTTTCAGTTCATTTTTCGGCACTTCGTTCTTCCTTTCTCTACGTAGTTTACACAGCGCATTGTTTTGGGGAATTTAATCTGAAAATCCGACCGGAAGTGGTGCGCAAGACTTCGTCATAAGAACCTTCACAGTTGTCAGTGTCCAGTTAACTTAATATCGGTGGTTCCTGCTCGCCATCAGCGTCATTCTTCGGTTTCTTAGTGTTATTTGACACCTTTCTGGGTTTTACAAGCTTCTTTTAGTCTCAGTGAAGTTTTTCAGGGAGCTTTGGACTAAAGCCTGTCAGTTTTTAAGACTTTTTTTTTTTTTTTTTTTTTACATTTATACACGAACAAGCAAGAGGCTAACCCCGCTAGAGGATTTTCCGAATTTTTATCGACTTCCTGCCCATATTTCTGGGCTCTTCCTTAGTTTTTGTCCGAACTCTGTTGGAAAGCATGGAGTTCTGCCCTACAGACATGAAGGCGGAACGTGAGAGCAGATAGCGGTGAACCCAGACTATTCCAGGACTCAGAACCGAGCCGTTAGGATGGCAACAGACTTTAACTTGATCCACCGAACCTGTAAGTTGGTGGTGCTCCTCTGCTTCCTTCACATCTCTGTCACCGTCTTCTTCTACGTCCGATCTATGGACATTCGGTTCTCATTCGCCCAGAACCAGCAGTCCCACACTAACCTAAGCCGGTCCAGTCATGGCCTGCCCTCTGTTAGTAACTCTAGAACCGAACAGCCAGAAGCACCCACCCTAAAGGCAGAGGAGAACCAGCGGGGCGAACCGGATCAGAATCCAAAGGAGAAGCAACCTGAGAAATGTCCAGAAACATCACCTCTTCTGGGTGAGTTCGGTTAGAATACAATAGAAAATTCCTTTATTGGTTTTATTTCATTCCTCTGATGTGATCCAGTCTTTATTTCTGGTCCAGATGGGCTTTTACCAGAGATTTCCTTGGAATAATTATGATAATTAATAAATGATCCATTAAGATTCAGTAGAGGGAAAAGATAAGAATGTTATCTGGAAGTGAAATTCAGGACTGTTAGGCAATGGTGGTACTACTGTGTGTTTTTACTTCCACCAGGAGCTTCAGATTACTTCAAGAGTTATTAAAACTGTATGAAGGCCTGAAGTTAGATCCAGCAGGGTCCAGATCTCAAGCACTTCATTGTGGTCTTTGTTAGTTTAGGTCCCCCCCCCAAAGTGGGATAGTTTACGGACTTTAGCCAAATGACTCTTAGTTTTATTACACCATAAATGAGTAATTACAGCTGTTTATTGGTTGGTGTTAGTTTGGTCTTTCTCTCAAGCCTACTCCTGCTCCAGAATTGCTTTCTTCTGTACCTGTGTCACTTTTTACACACTAGTGGCTCTTATATTTAATTATTATTCCTGAAAGTATTCCAGGAAATTGGAGGGGAGGAAAGCATAACCCAATGGTAAACATTCCTTCCTTCCAAAGGAATGAGGTTTCTATAGAAATGTAGATAATGATGCAGACACACCGGTTCTACCTGTTCTGTGTGGGTTCATAAGAATAAGAATACGTTTAATTTTCAAATTCACATGCCTTTCACACACAAATGTCCCTCAGGACACGTCAGCCTCCAGTGTGTTGTTTCCATTCCTCCTTCAGGTGTGCTGAGCTGTGCCTCTGTCTGTCAAGGAAAAATGTTAGGGCTGGGTCAAATCAGAGACCCTGATGGATGAATGTTAAAAATCTCATGATCTAGTTGCTAGCATTTCCTGTCATTGTATCTGTGCACTGGCTCATTAATGTACAGTTCACTATGGGTTGGGACCATTTAGCGGACCAAAAAGTTTGCAAGTCTTGCTGAGGACAGCAGATAAATAAAGACAGGTTTTCTCTGCCTGCACGTCCACTCAGATTTGCATTTGGCTGCCATTTATTTTATTCCTAATTTACATAAAAAAGCCATTGGCTCTGCTTTAGTTAGTCCAAGAAGCAGATATAGATTGCCAAATAAAAACAGTACAAACGTCAAACTAACTGGAAAAAGAATGTAAAACATAGAAGATTAAACTGCCTAGCTTTTTGTTTTTATCCTTGTATAGTTTTGGTGTACATGCAAAAATGCTCTCAATGACCATAAGTGCAGAGACTGATGTGGTGTAAATTGGAGTTAACTGGATCAGAGTAGCTGAAATGAGCTTTCCATAATCACAGATTTTTTTCCCCCTATGCGTTTGTCCTGAGTCATGTTCTTGAACAGAACCCAAAGAGGATGTGATTTTTTTTTTCTCTGGTAGAGCAGATTTTATAGAATCGGGATGCTCAATAGGACACCTCGGGTTGGCTGTCAGCATGAACTGCAGGGGATCCTGGACCCAGGCTTAATCCATCTAGGAAAATCCTTACTGTTTGAGTCTGTGTAAGCATCAGACCTCTAGGTTTTTTGACATTTCAATAATTATACATATGTATAATCCTGCAGCTGCACAGGAGCCATGGTTGGCTGTGCATGAGCAGTTGGCACGGATAATAACAGTTGGTTTGCAGTTTCAGTCACACGTGTTGGAAACTACAGGAAATGTGGAGTTCTTGGTTCAGCACTTCATGGAGAAGCTGCAGGTACTGTCAGGAACCTTTATTCAGTTCTTAGAACCCTCAGAAAGCTGATAGAATTGTTGGATCAAAACATGGGACATTTTATGCTCTAGTAAGTTAAAGCTGAAGTCTGTAAGTTTTTAAAAATCACTTTTTTGTCATATTGGCTAAAACTGTCCCTATGCCCAGACAGCAGTACATGTGATATGTAACCTGTGAAAAAAACTGGTACCGCCTACTGCCTGTATTTCAATCTGGAAAAAATAATTCGGGACGAGTCAAAACAACCAATCACGGCCAGAGGAGCGTCTGATGGAGTGTCAATCACAGCTCACACACGCTGAATCCCGAGAGGGTGGGGGAGTGGCGTGAAACCTGTTTTTCTTCAAATTTTCAGTCGAAGTCTGCTCTCTTCTCAATGTTACAGACTGCAGCTTTAAATTAGTTTCTACTGCACACATCCAGATAATTTCTTTTAAGATCTGGTGTTTAAAAGAAACTTCAGCTTTAACGGTTTTTCAGAATATAAATGGTTGTATGTGAGAACGTATCTCTTTTTTTGTTTGGTTCTGGGTGCCCACATAGAAAAAGCTGAGCTTTGTCTGGAAGACTGCAGGTACAGGTGCTGGTCATAAAATTAGAATATCATGAAAAAGTAGATTGATTTCAGTAATTCCATTTAAAAAGTGAAACTTGTATATTATATTCATACATTACATACAAACTCATATATTTCAGATGTTTATTTTGTTTAATTTTGATGATTACAAATGACAACAAATGAAAATCTCAAATTCATCATATCAGAAAATTAGAATATTGTGAAAAGGTTCAAAATTGATGGCCCCTGGTGCCACACTCTAATCAGCTAATTAACTCAAACCACCTGCAAAAGCCTTTAAATGGTCTTTCAGTCTAGTTCTATAGGCTACACAATCATGGGGAAGACTGCTGACTTGACAGTTGTCCAAAAGACGACCATCGACACCTTGCACAAGGAGGGCAAGACACAAAAGGTCATCGCTAAAGAGGCTGGCTGTTCACAGAGCTCAGTGTCCAAGCACATTAATAGAGAGGCGAAGGGAAGGAAAAGATGTGGTCGAAAAAAGTGTACAAGCAAGAGAGATAACCGCACCCTGGAGAGGATTGTGAAACAAAACCCCTTCAAAAATGTGGGGGAGATTCACAAAGAGTGGACTGCAGCTGGAGTGAGTGCTTCAAGAACCACCACACACAGACGTATGAAAGACATGGGTTTCTGCTGTCGCATTCCTTGTGTCAAGCCACTCTTGAACCACAGACAGCGTCAGAAGCGTCTAAAGAGAAACAGGACTGGACTGCTGGTGAGTGGTCCAAAGTCATGTTCTCTGATGAAAGTAAATTTTGCATTTCCTTTGGAAATCAAGGTCCCAGAGTCTGGAGGAAAAGAAGAGAGGCACTTCATCCACGTTGCTTGAAGTCCAGTGTAAAGTTTCCACAGTCAGTGATGGTTTGGGGTGCCATGTCATCTGCTGGTGTTGGTCCATTGTGTTTTCTGAGGTCCAGGGTCAACGCAGCCACATACCAGGAAGTTTTAGAGCACTTCATGCTTCCTGCAGCTGACCAACTTTTTGGAGATGCAGATTTCATTTTCCAACAGGACTTGGCACCTGCACACAGTGCCAAAGCTACCAGTACCTGGTTGAAGGACCATGGTATCCCTGTTCTTAATTGGCCAGCAAACTCTCCTGACCTTAACCCCATAGAAAATCTATGGGGTATTGTGAAGAAGAAGATGCAATACACCAGACCCAACAATTCAGAAGAGCTAAAAGCCACTATTAGAGCAACCTGGGCTATCATAACACCTGAGCAGTGCCACAGACTGATCGACTCCATGCCACGCCGCATTGCTGCAGTAATACAGGCCAAAGGAGGCCCAACTAAATACTGAGTGCTGTACATGCTCATACTTTTCATGTTCATACTTTTCAGTTGGCCAACATTTCTATAAATCCTTTGTTTTTATTGGTCTTCAGTAATATTCTAATTTTCTGATATGATGAATTTGAGATTTTCATTTGTTGTCATTTGTAATCATCAAAATTAAACAAAATAAACATCTGAAATATATGAGTTTGTATGTAATGTATGAATATAATATACAAGTTTCACTTTTTAAATGGAATTACTGAAATCAATCTACTTTTTCATGATATTCTAATTTTATGACCAGCACCTGTATTTGCTCTAACAAATCATGTTATGAGTCAGGAAACTGTCCAGTCCTGCTGAGGAGTTTGGCACTGAAGCATTAGTCTAGAGGCAACGTTGCTTATTAATCTTCAGCAAATTCCAGCTAATACCCATCTTCAGTTGTTTTTACTCCTGTTCTGTTTCTAATCTGCTGCTTCAGAGATAACCAAACAGAGGGACATTCTCTGTTAAACTCTTAGATAAATAAAGGACAACTCACCCAAGAATAAACTTTTTTTGTGTGGGTATTGGATTGTCTTACTATGACGTCTATGTTCCAGGACATGTATGCTGCATTTGTGTCTAAAGCAGTCTGTTTTTTTGTCCTGTCACAATTAAACGGGTTTAATGTATCTGATCTTGAGTCGGTATCAGTGACTGCTCCCCTGATATTTTCAGCTAGAAAAGCTGACCTGAATAGCTCTGCCCTGTGGGGTATAAAGACAGCATTATCTCTGCTCGTCTCCATAGTGAGTTGGAGGAAGTTTTTACAGTTTACTCTAATCCACAATTTACCAAAAGCAGAAACTCTCCTCATGCTATGGTTGGATTATTTGAGAATATCTAGGGTCAGCGGCTCAAACATGGATAGCTCGGGTCCAGCACAGAATGAGTTGTTCTTTAAAGGGAGCCAGTCAGGTGCTATCACCTTACAAAGCCGCTGATCGGACCTGGCTTATTAGAAAATTAATTGCTTGTTTTTATTTATATATATATATATATATATATATATATATATATATATATGACTAGATGAGAAGATGGATATATGTATGTACATATATGCTTTACAAATCCTTGATTTGGACATTCATGTGTCTGATAGCACCTTATTAATTGCAGACACAACACATAAGAGATGCAATAAAATTATTTAAATTCTACAAAGATTCTAAACAAGGAGCACTTGGTTTCAAGAGCCCAGATGTTGGTTAATAATGATCCAGAGGCATCACCCACTCTGCCAAGGCCCTTTAAGAGTATTTACGTTGATCTCCCCATCTTCAACAACAGTGTGAAGACAGGGACCACTCAGCATTTCTTGGAATTCTTTTTTCCAGTAAGCTTTGTTACAGTTGTCCCAGTAATACTTATTAATTTCTTAACAATGAAGATGTTGCAGCTTTGATAGTCTCTCAAGATCAGCACAAATCACACCTACTTTTATTGATTAATTTGTAGTCTGTAATGTTTGAAATAGTTTGATCAAGTGATATTAGTGAGAGAATAATAGTCCTTTATAATAGATATGAGAACAACTGACCCATGTAATATTAACCAATGAGTTACAGAAGCAGACTGTTTCTATCAATGAAAAAATATGGGAGGTTTTAGATGCAGGCTGATATAATTCAATATAGGGCTGAAAAATTTAGCTAAAAATCTGAAATAAGATTACTTTCAACCAATACTGCAATTGCAGTCCTGGGCAGAAGCTGCTTAACCTTTTACCTTTAGGGCACTAATAGCAAAAAACAAACAGACACAGAGAGTTGTTTTCCCTCAGGCTGTCTCTCTTTTTGACTTAATGTCACTGCAAATTACTCACTCTAGAAACAAACAAAGCCTTTGTACTACTTAACCTTGAAGTCAGGTTTTTTGTTGGTGGATACATTTTTGTTTTTCTGTGATTGTTACTGTCCAACCAGGTTAGAGTTTTAAATCTCAGCCAGAGTTCAAGGTACCTACAGTGTAACAGAAGGGAGACAGTTTGTGTTTCGGTCCTGTTTTAGTTCATATTGGTTTTTAGATGCAAATTACTCTCTCCACATGACAAAATCTAGACCTCAGAGCTTTTTGCTGTGGTGACAGTCTCTGGTTTCGGGCTCTAATGATTCAATAATGTCTGATTTCTCTGACTGTCCTCGTCTGTTGCTTGCATCCTGCTGTAATCTCAGTTGACCTTCGTTCTGTGTCTCTGCATGTATTCGGTCACAGGTCGAGCAGCTGCAGTCTGTTTACAAAACGCCTGAAGAATCTTCTCGGATGGTTTAACTCCCCTGTTTTCTGTTTCCAGTGGGTCCTCTTAGGGTGGAGTTCAACATCCCTGTAAGCCTGGAGCAGGTCAAGAAAGACAACCCCAACATCCAGCCGGGCGGCCGCTTTAAACCCAAAGACTGCCTGGCCCTGCAGAAGGTCGCCATCATTATCCCTTTCCGCAAGCGAGATGAACACCTGAAGTACTGGCTGTACTACCTGCACCCCATTCTGCAAAGGCAGCAGCTGGACTACGGCGTGTATGTCATTAACCAGGTAGGTTACACCAGCGCAGCAAGGACTGACAGAACTGAACAGACCCACTGACTGAACCATAGAGCCACCTTGTAACCCACAGCCACCTGCCTGAAGTCGTTCTCCTTCAGTACCAGGACGTTAACTTGTGACTTGATTCGTCTTTAGTTCAGGTCGATGAGGGATTGACTTGTTTGTTTAAAAGGGGTAACGGTGAATCATAGTTCTGATTCAGCAGAACCTAGAGTGGCTTAGCTAAACCAGATCAGGTAAACCAGTTGATGAACTGAGTCAAAGCGGAATGATGGTAGACCCAGTACTGATCACAAAAGTCCTCAGAAAGTCACAGTTTGTCTAAATCGGATCATCCTGGTGACTTTTTGGTGATACTTTTCTGATTTTTAACACCAGGTTTTATTGGGATGGGCCCACCGAGACCCGATTAGTCCAGCTCTCTCTTTCAGCACACAGGCATGTCAGAGCAGGTGAGTTCAACATACAAAGCTCAAGTCTTGATCTCCGGTAGGAATGTTGTCAAGGGACTCAGTAAGGGGTTGGCTGGATTAGCGAGGAAGGAAACCTGGATTACATCGGGATCAAGCCAGGATTATCCAGATTCAACCAAAGAGACGTACAGATTTACTTCTAGGTGAAAACATGTCAGCTGAATGGATGTTATAAGAACATCTGCTGTTAATGATCCAACCTAAATTGCATATCAGAGTATCAGACTCGCTGATCTAATCCAGGTGTTTTCAGAGGAACCTGGTTACAGAAGGAAGCCTCAGGCGAAGAGGTGGGGCTTGTGTCCAGGTAACTGTCATTACTTGACTGGAGCCTGCTGGGAGTTGCTTTGCCTCTGCAGAGCTGCGAGCTCCTTCAGGCAAATGAAGGAGCTCGCAGCTCTGCAGCTACATGTTCTGGCAGGGTTGGAATCACTTTGAACCTGAGCGAAATTGTTTAGCAGAACCAGATGTCCCTCAGGTTCCCAGAGCTGGACTGCATGTGATGCTGACCTAAACAGTGATCCAGGTGCATGTTTGGTGTGTGCCAAACACTGACGGATTCAGATATTAAACACGGTTCGTGCAGTAACCATGTGTGTTCACTCTGCTGCTGTTCTGACTCACCATGTTCTTCTTCTTTCTGCTTCTTCTCCTTCTGCTCACCCTCCTCAGTTTAAGCTCCTCCCTTTCGCCTGCCCCTCCCCCTCTCTTTGCATGTCAGGCCTTTCTGACCAATGGCTGTGGAGCTGCTGAGACCCACCCCTACAGCGGGTGTTGCTAAGGGGGTCGCTACGGTAATTCAGCTTTCTTCTCTGTTTTTCCTGTCTGCTGCTGGTTTCTGTTTCAGCCATCAGAACACACCTAACAGGTAAACAATGAAGAAAAACCCGCAAAACAAGCTAGATCGGTTCTTTGATTTCAGATCGAATAAAAAATCCAGTTACAGTTTAGGTTTCGCTTTACCTCAGATTATCGCTTGAATTACACTTGCTATTAAAAAAACAAAACACAAATAATGATAATAATAATAATAAACATGTTACAGATATGAATCTGCTGAGCTGATGGATTACCTGTCCAGGTGAGACAAACAAAGAGCTTTGTACTAACACTTTTTTATCTGTAAACAGGAAGTGGTCATCTGATGTTACAGGAAGTTGTTTTAAGACAATAAAACATTTGAACCATTTATAATAATCTAAAAGCTGCAATCATGCCGTATGAAATAATGAACAATCTGCTGCATGACACTAATCACAGGTTACCATGGTAACCATGTTAACTTAAAATTTCAGCATTAGGACATGCAAGTGGAGCAGTGGTTAGTGCACACGACCCATATACCCACCTTAGTCCAGTACTCGCTTACTGTCCAAGGCCGTTTCTCAAGTTCTCGGCAAGTCCAGTCTTGGCAAGAACACAAGTAAGTATGGACTTGTGACATCAATACACGCTCGGCTCGTCTGGAGCTGCATTTCACCTCCTGTTGTTAATAGTCTCTAGATACTAATAAATTCTGACTTTTTTCATTTAGTGGGGGAATAATAATTAACACAGTCAGATAAATGCAAATCAAATGAACATTTAGCCAAATAAAACAAAAAAAATTGCCATCAGAGCCAGCGGTGATTCACACGCGGCTCTGCCGAGAGAGGGCCGCTGCAGACGGGCTGCGGTTAGCCATGGCTGTTGCTAGCTTTGGAGCTACTCTGGTTGCCGCAGTCCTCTCAACTTCAGAAATCTTTTTTTTTATTACGCATTAAATCAGTAAATGGATTATATAGTCATGTTTTAAGGTATAATATTCTCGCCTCAAAGGATCTTAAAACGTACTTTTATTGAACAACAGCAACAGAAAATAACTTTTAACTTTCATTATAGCGCTCCATTTAAAGCTGCTATTTCCGCAGTGCATGCTGGGACAGCTGCCAGTCTCGAGAACTGACAAGTCTGCTCTGATGCATACTCGATAAAGAGGGCGGGGCGAGAACAACATCCGGGGATTTGATGCGTTCTCGGTCTGATGACGTGTCACGAGCACACGAGAACGCTCAAGAACACATATTGAGAAATGGCCAATGAGCCATTAGTGCTGTAAAAACTCAAAACAAAAATTTATTATTGAACCAGTGATGAGCTGGGCGTCATTTGCAATGACCCACATGGATTTTCTGTTGAAACACAGATAACAGAGAAAGGTTTCTTTTATTCATTCCTAACCACTTGAGGGAGGGAAACCAGAGTCCTCCTGTTTAGATGTGCAGATCTCAAATAGTGCTTGAGAACAGGGCAACGCCCACAGGCAGCAACTTGAAGCAGCTCTTGAAAACTCTTCAAAATATGCTGCCCAGAAGACTACAAACTATGCATCAATCCTGTATCTCTGACCGCCAGCACCTGCTGCAGCTAATGATAACTAGTGTCTTTTCTTGGCTAAGTAAATACAGCCACTCTTGACTGCTTAAAAAGCTTCAGAGTGCTTCGAACAGACTCACACAGTGTAGCGGACCCATGGAGAATACCATGCCGGAAAAAGAGAAAGAGAAAAATGGTGTGCAAGGCTGCGAAAACGTGCTGCAGAGATGGGCTAACAGTAAAGCTAAAAACCAATTCCTACAGACTGCTGCTCCTTTCAGTCCTGCTCTCCAAAGCCCACTCACTGGAAAACAAAATGGATCATCTTCAACTCCAACGCTCTTCAAAGAAAGAGATAAGTAACTGCCGCCCCATCAAACTGACAGAGTCACGACGTAACTCATCAGTACCGGATAATGCCGTAAACCTGCAGGGGCTCTCACTATTCCGTGTCAATTTGAACTCTGAACTTAGCGGTAAGACCAGAGGAGGGGAGCTGTGCACTCACATAAACAACACCTAGTGTAAAAATGCTAGCTTGGTCACCATGTTGTACTCTCCCAACATCCAGATTTTGACTGTTAACTGCAGACCATTCTATCTGCCTAGCGAGTTCACTGTTGTTAGCATCACAGCTGTATATGTGCCCCCCATCGCTAATACTACAGAGGCCATGAGTGTTCTTGAGCAGACCATCTCCAAGCTTCAATCTGAACATACGGAGGGCTTTTTTTTCTCCTGGCTAATTTGAAGACTATTCTCCCTCATTTTTACCAACATGTGGACCAACATGTTTACCAACTCTGGGACAGAACACTCGGGACTTGGTCTACCTTAACATAAAAGATGCATTAGGAGCAGCCCTACCGCCACCTATCTGTCAGGCTAATTCCTGCATATAGGCTGCAGCTCCTCAGGGCTAAACCAACAGTGAAGCAGGTCAGGGTGTGGACTGAGGGGTTCATGGAGGCATTCCAGGGCTGTTCTGAATGCTCTGACTGGAAAATTTTCAAAGCTGCAGCAACTTATGATAACAAGATCAATATTGATGAGTATGCCATGACTGGAGAGGTTCGAAAATCGCTAAAAGCACAGAACTCTGCCTTCAAGCCTGGTGACAGAGAGGCACTGAGGACAGTGAGAGCCAACTTTAACCGTGCCATTAGGTCAGCGAAGCACAACCACAGCCAGAAAATCCAGTATCTCTTCCGCAAGTGCCAGCAACACCAGGAGAATGTGGCAAGGCATACACACACCCTTCCCCCGGTGGGTGTAGCTGATGCTGACTTCCTAAATGGACTAAACAATGTCTATGGAAGGTTTGAGGCACTAAACAGCACACAAGCAATAAAAGCTGTTCCCCATCAGGGAGAGGAGGCACTCTGCCTTAACACAGCTGATGTGTGGAAGACTGAGGAGAATCAACCCAAGGAAGGCCCCAGGCCCCGATAACCTATCTGGGCGTGTTTTCAAGGACTGTGCAGATCAGCTGGCTGGTCCTCAGACATCTTTAACACCTCGCTGGACCAATTCCATAGTGCCAGCATGCTTTAAGTCTGCAACCATCATTCTGGTCACAAAGAAGCCTCAGGTCATCTCACTCAGTGACTACAGGCCCCGTCGCACTGACTACCATCATGATGAAGTGCTTTGAAAGGCTGGTTAAAGAACACGTCGTCTCTAGTCTCCTCCCAAAGTTCATCCCATTCCAGTTTGCCTAGAAACGGAACCACTCCACTGAGGACACCATCTCCTCCGCTCTTCACCTGAGCCTGGTACACCTGGAGGAGAAGAACACCAGCGTGCGGATGCTGTTCCTGGACATCAGCTCAGCTTTCAACACCATCATCCCACAGCATCTGTTAGGAAAACTACTGGAACATCTGGGCTTCAGCACTACCCTCTGCAATTGGTTGATAGACTTCCTCACAAACAGACCTCACTCAGTCCGGGTTGGACAGAACCCCTCTAATGTCATATCACTAAGCACAGGCTCTCCTCAAGGCTGCGTCCTGAGCCCCCTGCTGTTCTCTTTGAAGACACACGACTTCGCCCCCAGGTTCACCATCAATCACATTGTGAAGTTTGCACATGACACCACGGCTGTTTGCCTCATCAGAGACGACAACGACCAGGACTACAGGGAGGAAGTGGAGCAGCTGGTGGGCTGGTGCAGAGATAACTGCCTTATCCTGAATGTGGAGAAAATGAAGGAGATCATCGTAGACTTCAGAAAAAAACCAGCATAACCACGCTCCACTGCTCATCAGCAGCTCAGCTGTAGAGGTGGCCAGCAGCACCAAAGTCCTGAGGGTGCACATCACAGACACCCTCACCTGGACTATAAACATCACCTCACTGGTCAAAAAGGCACAGAAGCGATTGTACTTCTTGGATGAGGATGTGGAGAGCCCACCTGCCCCCACACATCCTCACCACCTTCTGCAGAAGCACCAAAGATTGAGGCGCTGCAGCCTACACACCACACAGCTGGTCAGAACGCAGACTGGAAGAACGTCAGAAGAGTGGTGAGAACAGCAGAGAGGATCATCGGGGCTCCAATCCCCTCCAATAAAGACATTTCATCCCAGCACTGCGTGTCCTGAGCCCGTAACACAATCAATGACCCCTCACACCCCCACCATGGACTGTTGCCCTCTGGGAAGAGGCTTCACAGCTTTTGATGCAGGACCAGCAGATTCTGAAACAGCTTTTTCCCCACTGACATCACACTGTTCAACTGATCAAGTCACAAATCAGGACTGTGCATCACACTTGTACAAATCATATTTGCACTAAATAACGAATGTTCTGTTTCTAGTGCATTTGCACCATATTCTTCTGATTACTGCCGAAATGGAAAAGGTCATTTCACTGATGAAAGCTGCTCATTCACTGTTGAAAACCTGTATGCATCGAAATTTTGTTGACAATAAATGACAAAGTTTGTCTAAGATGGATTTAAAGTAATGTTATTCTACTGCCTATAAATCCATAGAGCTTAAACAGTGGCAATGAAAAAGAAATATGGCAAAGAAAAATCAAACATAAAAAAAAAAGATGTAACTGAATAAGAAATAGTGAAACGGAAAAAGTGACCTCTTATGCTGCACATTTTTTTCCAATGAGAGACGTTTCCAGCTGCCCTGCAGAGTTCTTGCAGTAATGATATAACTGCAAGCTGGCAGTGATTTGGCATTGAGGAGTGCTCCTTTCTCCCCTTAGCTACCTCAGTGATGGGGACGGTAGCTACTCAAGTATAAATAAGTCTTTCTGTTTATGTTATTGTAAGTAATATAAAGTGCTTATTTTAGCTAACTTGTCATTACAGGTGTGTCTAAATTCAGAGGTGCATCTTTTTGAAATAAGTATTTATTGGCTCATTTGTAGCAACTATGATCCACTTAGAAAACCTCTGCAGGCTGAGGTGGCTGTCTTCAGTTCGTCTGCACATATATGAAATTAACTAAGTAAAAAAAAAAAGTTAAAAATGAATTAAAACCAAGTAAAAATGATGGTTAATGACAATGACTATTGATAGAAATACCGATTGGTACAATTAAAACATCACAACTCTTATTATAAAGGATGGGTCTGAAGTTTCCTTTGTGGAGAGAGAAAAATCAGCAGTCACAGGGTACCGTCATGTATGCGGTCCACATTGGAAGGCCAGTCCAGTAATTAGTTAAGTGTTTTAAACTTTTCTTTAAATGATTTACTTAAATCATAAGGGAATTAAATACATGATGTCAAAAAGCTAGTGTTCAGCTTAGTTAAGGCCTTTATTATAACTGTGCACATTTCAGCTGAAATTATTATTTTTTTCTGAACTTTAATGTCCTATTGGAGAATGTATTAGAAAATGAATTGTTTGCTCATCTTTAACACATGCCTGCAACCATGGTACAACAGAAATATGGTCGGGATCTAGTTAGTATTACATTTTTTCATCAATGTTTTAATTTTAATGTTGGACTTAATAATCATAAACCCTCCTTGGTTTTGCCAAATACTACCTACAGAAATGCTAATTTGTTAATATTAAGCTCATACTCTTTTCCCAAATAACCATCTCTTTGAAACTCAAAACAAAAAACAAAATTTGATATGTCCTATTTGCCCAGGTAATAAATATATTAAGAACCTTCATCTTTATCCAAGTCAGGTAGTTATTGGTACTATTCATTGGACACATAATGTTGATGTGAAACCCTGACGGATGTAAACGAGGGGCAGAAGTTCATGTCATCTCAGTTCTTACAAGGCTGACTGCTTTAAGGAAATGATGGTGCCTTCCTATGTCAGATGATTATTACTGAAAGTAATGATGAGATGCGGAAACCAAAGCTTTGTCACTAATCAGTGATCATACTGATGATTTAGTCCAAAGCTGCTGTAAACGGTCACTTTTTCAGTCCTGCCCTAAAGAAGCCAACACGTTGTGAACAACTTGTGCAGTTTGTTTGAAACACTGTCTCCCTTTTAAAGACCTGAATGTTCTATATGGTTCTTACCTTACCTGCATCTCAGAAATGTCTTTCCTACCAAATCCATCCAGTGCTTTGGGGACCATTAACATAATTTATGTCTAGTCTTTGACCCTGATCAGTGATTGAAGAACTGGGTCTGACATGATCCATATTTCTGGCAAGGGACCCAATAGAAGCTGCTTCAGACTTGGTGAATGTTTAGACAGCAGCTGTTGTTCTACTTCCTGTTTTGACAGGAAGTCCGTTCTTCTGATGACGTTTTTAATCAGTGCATTCGGTCTCATATTGCAGATGGTTGTTCAGGCCCAAACATTCCTTTCTTCAGTACACTAGAGCTTCTGCTGATGGATCTGTGTGTGTATGTGTGTCAGGATGGGGATGAGATCTTCAACCGGGCCAAGCTGCTAAACGTGGGCTACACGGAGGCTCTGAAGGAGTATGACTACGACTGCTTTGTCTTCAGCGATGTGGACCTGATCCCCATGGATGACCGGAACATATACAAGTGCTTCAGTCAGCCCAGACACCTGTCTGTTTCCATGGACAAGTTTGGCTTCAGGTAAGATCAGTTACTGGAAAGCTGCAGTCTACAGGAAGGATTAGAGCCATTCATAGAACCTTTAAGGCTTGAACCCTCATTGTCTGCAGGTTTCGATTTCATTAGTCATAAAATGCAGCTCTGAACCATCACAGCTGAAAACGTTTAGATCTGTCCGCAGGCCAGGTTCTGCCGGCTGTTAGTGTTGGAACACAGCTTGGTGGAAGTCTGAAATGTTTAACATCAGGTGGTGTTGGGCCTAAATGTGCTGTTAACAGTGGACCATGACTGCGAGGAGAAACTAATCAGGTGGTGTTGGGCCTAAATGTGCCGTAAACAGTGGACCATGACTGAGGGGAGAAACTTCTCCTTAACGCTTGAGTTCACATTTAGGAAAGGAAAACCGATCTGGAGCAGGACAGAAGGAGTGAAACTTACGACATGGAAAAACATTAAATCTTTTTAACCTCTGTCTTATTGGAGCTGTTTATTTAGCTAAAAATGTGAGATTGTGCAGAGATCCAACTGATCTTAATCTTTATATCTTCTCAAGATCCAACCATGTTTTTAATTCACCATATTATACAACTCCCTCTTCTGTTGATCTCTGTGGTTTACCTCATAAACCTGCTGGAAAACCAGCAGAGACTCTAAACTGTGGTCTGAAGCATCTAGATAAAACTAGCTTGAGGTTGGGGGGGTTAGAAGGAACAGGAAGTGCTGACAGAGACACTACAGAGGAATATATGGTCTCTGAAGCAACACCATGTGCCCTGGCTCTAGCTTCCTGTTTCCTGTTTATGACAGTTCGCACTCTCACACACATCTGGGTACTTGCTGCAGGACATTTTTGGTGAATTTTACTAGAAAAGTGAGTTGGCTAAGTTAAGCAGCAGTGTGTTGCAGTGGGTTTGTCAAAGGTATGGCGCAGACATTTTTGATTTATGCTCAATATTGAAGCGTGGTCTGCGCTATGTTTATTCCACGCCACAAAGAAAAAGGGGAAAATCACAAACTAACTCTGGTTCTAGATACGGCCAGAGTAGGGGCAAGTTTGTCCCACAACGAAGGGAAATGAGGGCGAAATAGAGCAAGATCAAAAAAAGGTCCCAGCTTTCTCGCGCCGTAAACTCTTCTAGCTGGTCCAACTTCACGAGTCGTTTTCCGCATGGTCATACAAACAAAACAAGCCGGTAAGGTACCAAACAGGAGACTCATAGTGTAGAGCGGATGTAGATTTGACCAATCGGAGGCCTCCTGTCTGCGGTCACCTTCAATTTGGGAGAGATGTAGCAGAGCGTCTGCAGAGGGGGCGGGGACATCTCTGTCTTCACTGCAACAACTATGAAGGTGACGTAGTTTTGAAGTATAAATCAGCCTTAAGGCGTGATTTGGGTTTGGGTGAGGGAAAGTACCAGTAATGGGTATGTTAAGGGTTGTTATATTTAGGTTTTAGAAGGAGTAGAAAATGAATGCATGTCAATGGGAGTGTCCTCCCTTTGCATTTAAAATACATTTACACATAGGTCCAGTTTGAAGACATGATGGCCCAATCCCAAACCAGCCCCTAAACACTAACCCTCCGTTTGGGTGTTCCCACAGAGGGTCCGCGACGTAAGTGCCTTCCCAAAATACGTAGTGGGTAGGGAGAGTGGACCGTCCAGTCCTTAAATAGCGAGTCTGCAGCAGTTTCAGGAATTTGGCAGCAGGTGTAACAGCGGCCTGGCAAAGGAAACATTTTCCTCCAGATGCAGGAAAGGATCTTGCTGATCCTTTGCTGCATCTACATCACACTGACAGAAAATCACAAAGAAGCATATGAAAAAAAAAAGTAATTAATTCCAAAGGGGAAGGTCCTTTTTTAAGTGGTAGTTTTGTTTGACCGTATACATTTGCTTTAAGAAAGGGGAAAATGTTTAATGTTAAGTCAACCTGCGCCACAGAGCTACAGCCATGGGGTGTCACTGTGTTGCCATAGCAATGACTGCTTTCCTTTTGCGTTGGAGGTAGGAAGCCGTCCCATTCTCGTATGTACCCCCCACCTTCAATCAAGGCGCCTTCCACAGCTGCAAGTGAGACTACACAGGGATTGGCAGTCGTTAGGGGGCGGTTTGGGATTGGGCTGTGAACACCTCTCACTGTCACCGTGGTAACCTCGGCTTCATCTGATGTGTTTGAAACTGAACTGGTTAGAAAGCCCCTTACTTGCTTAATATATATATAAATGAGCTTAATGTCATTTGGAGTGAAGGACTTCTTTTTTTTTTTTTTTAGGGATCTCAGGAAAAAACTGCATCTGATAGAGCCACAGCTTTTCATCCTTTATAGCTGACAGGTTCTCCTTAGAGGTTCATGGTTATGCTTTTAGGTGAACTGATCCTCTGTTCTCCTGCAGGTTACCCTACCACCAGTACTTTGGAGGCGTTTCATCCATGAGCAAAGAGCAGTACCTAAAGATTAATGGGTTCCCGAACAACTACTGGGGCTGGGGCGGGGAGGACGACGACATCTATAATAGGTAAGCTCACCTGGGGGCTCGTCCTCAACACAGTCACCTCTGTCAGGGATCAGCCCACTGGTTATGATCCAAGCCGATGGATGGCTGATGTGACCGTGTTGGTTCTACTGCTACTTGGAGGATGATCTGTCATATCTAAGGCTACGTTCACACAGCAGCATGAAGTGACCTAAATACGATTTTTTGCCAATATGCTACCTGGATCTGATCTTTTCATGGCAGTCTGAACAACACAGATCCGATTTTTTCCAATCCGACCCAGGCCACTTGGCTATGTGGTCCTGAATTTGATCTTTTCAAATGTGACCTGTGTCTGAACGACCAGGTCGCATTCATCCGACCTGAATGTTATTAATACCCGATAAACGTCACTATTATGCGTCTTGCTATGCAGAAGCGGCAAGAAAAACAACTATATTAACAACAATATTAAAAAGATAGAGTTTTTATGGTTGGAAAAGATCGCTAGATGCGCGCCGGCGCTACCATTCATGTTTACTTCTGGAAAAAAAGAGCACGCAGGCCTGTGATGTCATTGCGTCCTCTACCGCGCATGCGGGACACTTGCGTTGTATCACTGCAGTTCACACAGGAGATCACATACAAGTCGCATATATTTGGAAATAGGAACGGCAACGTGACAAAATTGGATTTGCACAAAAAAATCGGAATTGAGCATCAAGGCCTGCAGTGTGAACGTAGCCATAGAGTGCTTGGCTGCAGCCAGGAGATGTGTCACGTGTCACAGCACTCGTCTGGTGAATTTAAACCACGTGCCACATTCTCTTACCTTTCCAAACAAACACTACATAAAATTATAACTTGTCTTATTTGGGATAATTAAATGTTGGTTTTGATTAATGTTTAAAAAAATAAGTGATTATTTAAGTTGTTTCTTTTTATGATCCACTGTAAAATAGGTTCAGGTATTTGTCCTGTAAAGTTATTAAGTACAGAGCAGACTGGTGATAAGAATCTTCAGCAGAACCTCCCTGAGTCACAATATGTGAAGGGTCACTGAATATGGTAACACCCAATGTTTTATCACCTGAAAAAACAATGTTATATTGCAAATGTAAGAGATCAGTAGCTGAAGTTCACCTGACCAGTGCAATGACACAGCAGGTCTATAGGCTGCAGCCATAGCCAAGTCACAACATTGAGTTTTTATGGTTTAAAATGGACTGGTTCTGGTGCGGTCCAGGAGTGAACATATTGTTATAGACTAGTAAACTGTAGTTTCCTACTAAGTAACAGATTCTGTCTCTCCAGGCTTGCTTCCAAAGGGATGAGCATCTCCAGACCCAGTGGAGAGGTCGGAAAATGCCGCATGATCCGACACATCCGGGACAAGCAGAACGAGCCAAACCCTCAGAGGTACAGACACTCTCAGGTTCTCTTTGTCCATAAACTGATGGAACTTCACGTTGAAACCCCTTTTCTTTAGTTTATTGGGTTCACAGAACCGGGCTTGCAGTAGAGATTTGCTCTCTGTCAGGAGTTGCCTTTGCGATCTGGGATTCTCCTGCTGATCCCAACGGCTTAATGCGGTTCTGTTCTTGTTCCAGGTTCGACCGGATCGCCCACACACGAGAGACAATGCACAAAGATGGGATCAACTCCCTGACCTACAACGTGATTCAGGTCGAGAAGCTTGACCTGTTCACTAAGATCACAGTGGACGTGGGAAAGCCCTGAGCGGGCTACTTTAGGACCCGTCGGGCCACGAGCCGGACCGGAGCCGGACCAATGCAGTAAAGACCATGCGCTGTTTATGACACTTGAAACTTTTAAACAGGGGTTCTGGTTCTGTTGAACCAGACCTGTTGGACTCATCTCATTGTTGCACAAACAAACTGAATGTTATTTTTCTCTGCCAGGCCTTAAGGACTTTCTGGTTGGAGCCAATCAGACGCTGCTGCAGCACATTATAAAAAATGCTCTTATTCTACAAACCTGAAATCCTGCAGGGTCACACAGGGAGGGGGATGTTACAGACTGGGCCGGGTTGATTCTGAACATAGCAGGAGCTTCTAGCTACTAATCAGATGAGAGCATATCGATGCAGGTTCTGTTTGGGATTTTTGTTTTCTGTGAGGCGGGGCTAAAAGCTGACAATTTGATTAGTCAGCTTATGTGATTCAATCGTACGAAATGAAAAGTCCAAAAGCTGTTGAACTTATGAGGTTCTGCTTGGTGAGAGATGCTAATGGTTCCGATTCACAACCAAAGACGCTCTGAAAGGAACCAGGTCGAACAATGGTTCAGCTTAGCCTGGGGAATGCACCAGTAAGGTTCTGGTGACAACCAAACAGAACCAGTCGTGGTTTTAATTGGACCAAACCCGTTTCTGTGGTCCCACCATGTTACTGAAGGTCAAGATACCACTTGGTGTCGAAACGATTCAGATTTAAAATCTGATAATTGAAACGAGACTAGGTTTAGAACCGGGTTCCAACTGCTGGTTAGTGTGATTGATAATCAGTTCTGATCGGGGCCAGAACTCGACCCATTGATTTAGGGATCTCTGTGTAAATGATCAGATATGTTGAGCATAAATGATTTAAGATTAATTTTGACTGAGGGATTCTTCCTGCAGCTGTTGGTACCAAAGACCTCGTTGATCCCTTAAACCGGGTCAGCTGACAGCTGGACTGGACCAGCTCTTATAATTGATTTATCAGTTCTTTGTGGGTGTGTGTTCGTGACTGCTTTTTCTTCCCGTTTGTGTGGAACAATCGCCTGTAATGTGCCTTAAACTGACCGGTGTCATGTCGACCCGTTAAACTGGTCCAGGTACCAGTATGTTGCTAATAAAAAAAGATGAAATCAATACGTTTTTCTTCAGTGTCCTGAATGAGAGCTTTAGTTAAAAACATCGGGTAGCTATCTTAAACCTGAACTGTTCTGGTGCTAAAGTTGCAACTAGGCGTTTCTAGTTGATCTGGATTAGTGCAGCAGAACTGCTCAAACAGGTTCCTTTGTTCAGAAAACATAACTCTTCCTTTAGGTTTACAGAACATTAAATAAAAACATAACATGGTTAGAAGGAAATGAACACCAGGAAAGATTTAACAAAAAGATTTTATTCAATGTGTGCCATTTGAGTCTAAAAAAAACAGCAATGGATAAAATAAAATTCAATTAGATCCAAAACAAACACAAGCTGCAGAACCACGGATGGATTAAAGCTGCTTTTACAGATTCCAACTAGAACAGCGCCCAATTTCATTCACACAAACACAGGGAGGTCTGATCCAATATGATCCCCAAGTCAGAACCAGCTGATCCTTTGGATTCTCATGTCAAACGGCTATGGGAAATCTCAAACAGAAATGCCTCTGAACACCACAGATCTGGCTGCTCATCTCCATGGTTACAGGCTCAGAGGCTGTTCATCAAAGTGAGTTTAAATAAACAGCGATACCAAATTCAAAATAGAAACTTTATTTTCAAATTTAGAAACATTTTTACAGTGAAAAAGGAATGCTGCCAGGAGACCAGATCCTCCGAGGGTTCCTGTCAGTGTTGCCATAGAGACGAGTCATCTATCACTGTTCGGTGGTTACCTGCTGTGAGGTTCCAATCAGACAGCTGGTCGATCCTTTTATCCAAGCAGTCCTCAAGGGTTAACTGAGCAGTAAACTAGTCCCAACATAACTGATCCACTCACTGAACCTTAAGCCACTAGCAGGACTGTGATTGGCTGACCGTCTGCCTGCTGAGCCATTTGGAGCTCGTTCTGAAACCAATCAGCAAAATAAATATCTGCTCAGCTCCTGAGTCTAGAGCCCCCCTTGCTGGACCCGCTTGAACAGCTGCTGCCTCTGTGACGGCGTCATAGTGTCGCAGCTCTGCAACAAGTTGGCCACAATCAGAGTCTGCTGGACGCTTGCTGCCCGGACCCAGACCCGGCCGTTCATCCCCACCACCAGCTCGCAGGGGAACAGTTTCTCCAGGTCGGCCCGCAGGTCGCTGTGGGGGGCCAAGAGCCTGCAGACACAGGAGAACAATTTCTCAGGACCGCAATAGAGAGTTTTGGAAGATTACTGTGATTCATCAGAACCCCCCCCAGCTGCATGTTCAGAGAGTTAATATGAATTCAGCATCAAGCAGAACCAAACAAATCAAAACCCTGCTAAAAGAACCCTGCACATCAGTGGAGCATATAGCAGCTGCAGGATCCAGCTTGCTGATCCGTTTGGGATTAACAGAACACTGCTTGGTTCTTTTAATCAGATTTCTATTGGTGTCTGATGCCTTCCAGATTGCAGTTTTTTTTTTTTTTTTGTGGTTTTCTGACTGGGACCGGCCCTGACCTTATCCCTAGTTTTTTGGGAACTGGGCTCAGACCAAAACCAGCTGGAAGCTCCAGTAACTGTTGGGAGGAGGAACACCTGAGGAGCTGTTGGGTGAGTTACCTTCTGACGAGGCCCAGAGACACTTTGATGAGGAGACCCCCAGCTCCGAACACACCCATCCCGTTGGCCCGGCCCGATCCGTCGATGCAAACCAGCTCCGGCTCCATGTCCTTATTAGCTACAACGAATTGAGCAAACACCAGATCGCCCACCTGTGGACCGAAAGAGAAATGAGGGCGATCAGGGTTAAATAAAGCCAGGACAGGTTCTGTAGAATTATGGGCCTTTAAACAGCCTGATCCAATCGCAGGAACCACTACGGATCGTCTGACAACAGAGACTGCACATCTAAATGTGTCACCTGGACATTGGGTCGGTTCCTTTTGGTGGCGCCCTCAAAGGCCAGGTAGGACAGAGATGCCTGCTCGCTTCCTCCAAAGTCCACCTTGAAGACATCTCCAGATTTAGCAGTCACAATGCCAATCACAGTCTCTCCTTTAGCTGGGACGTACTGAGGACAGAACGATAATGGAGAAATTCAGAGACTATCTGGTATGGTTCCAAACAATGGAAGCGGTTTGGTATCAGCAACCTGGTGCGTATCAACATAATGTCTAAGTATAAAATGTTAGTGAAAAGGTAAGGTTGACCTCAATGCTACTGCAGGTGATCAGAGCAGAAACCAAAACAAACAGAAACACAAATATGCTCCTAGTATCAATGGAAATTATTTCATTATAGAATTTAGAATGGATTAAAAAATGTGTTTAATTATAAAAATGTAAATTGTAACAGCATCCAAATGTTTAAGCATCTCTACATCATTACTTTGATTTACTCTCCAGGTTGTTCTTTTCACTACTTTATCCATTAAGCATCAACATGGACTCACCTGCTGCTTCTATAAAACTGTTTGATTCTAAGCAAAACCACCAGAAAATTTTATGAAATAAAGGTGGATAAAATTGAACTAGACAGAGGAGTGCTGAAAGGGAAACTGGTCCTGGGATCACTGTACCAAGAGGCTGGCTTTTCCTCTGTTTTAATGAACCAAAGCCTGCTGCCATCTGTGGATTACCATTTAGGTTATGAACACTGACATCATCATGAACAATAAAGCAGATCTCACCTCTTTTACATCCTATACAGAGTTTATTATTGTACATTATTTTGTTTGGATTATTTATTTTAAAATATTTTTTTCTACAATTCTGTATGCAATACGCTCATCAACTCCTTTCCATTTTATTAGCTTAAGGTGCTTTGGGAAAAACTTGCTGGATTGAAGTAGAATTCACAAAATTAATTTTCCTAAAATGAAATCCCTTTAATCCGTAGCATTCCCTGTGAAAACAGACCCTGAAGTTCTTCATCCAGCTGAGAGAAAGCATCCCTGCTAGTCTATTAGGGTGGATGTCCCTAATAATGATCATAACCTAAGAGCTCCCTCTCAGAGCCAACAGGCCAAAGTTAACAGGTCAAAGGTCATGGTGGGCTGAACTAGGCTGACTGTTCAGAAGGATTATAGGAGAAAGCTTCTTCTCTAGGAACGAGATGGCAGTAGGTTGACAGAGCTGCATCTGGATGAAGGGTAAGACTTATTGGACAATGTCCTTTGGACAAATGAAACCCAACTATTCAGCATGACAATCTATTCTAAAAATGCATCCATTCCGAAATATCAACTATTCGACCTGTTCTAGAAGTTTTATAAACTGATAAGATACAGCTCATAAAAAGAAAAACTTACATTCTCAGTTTCTGTCAGAACATCCGTTTGATTTCTAGTAGATTTTACACTAAACTGAGTTTATTCCTTCAGGATTAAGCTTCAGAGCATCGTAGATCCGTGTTTCTATGTTTGACTGATCTAGACAAAAGTTCGGCTGTAAGTTCGGAGCGGACCGGACTCACCCTCCTCTGCTGTGACTCGATCCAGAACTTGTTTGGCTCTTTGTGTCTTAGCACACCGCTCCGGCTCACCAGCAAACGGTCGCCGCTCTGCCGTATCCCAGGCCCGGCTACCAGGCGTTCCGGCTTCCCGCTTTCAGTCAGAGAAAGGGTTTCCTGAGGGCCACAGCAGAACTGATCTCCAGGTAGCAGGACATCTCCAACCCGCTCCTTTAAAACTGAGAACATCTTCACAGATACCGCGTTTCTCTACAGGAAATAGATAGGGACTTGATGAGCGGCCGCAGCGCCCCCTATCACCCTGGATGACTTTACACATGCGCAGCTTCTTCGAGTTTTACGGCGGTTGGCGACTACCGCCACCTACTGTCCCGGAATATGGGTCAGCCTGTGACCTCAAGTACATCCCGCTGCAGCCTGCGGGAACATACAGGTGCTGGTCATAAAATTAGAATATCATGAAAAAGTAGATTGATTTCAGTAATTCCATTTAAAAAGTGAAACTTGTATATTATATTCATACATTACATACAAACTCATATATTTCAGATGTTTATTTTGTTTAATTTTGATGATTACAAATGACAACAAATGAAAATCTCAAATTCATCATATCAGAAAATTAGAATATTACTGAAGACCAATAAAAACAAAGGATTTATAGAAATGTTGGCCAACTGAAAAGTATGAACATGAAAAGTATGAGCATGTACAGCACTCAGTATTTAGTTGGGCCTCCTTTGGCCTGTATTACTGCAGCAATGCGGCGTGGCATGGAGTCGATCAGTCTGTGGCACTGCTCAGGTGTTATGATAGCCCAGGTTGCTCTAATAGTGACTTTTAGCTCTTCTGAATTGTTGGGTCTGGTGTATTGCATCTTCTTCTTCACAATACCCCATAGATTTTCTATGGGGTTAAGGTCAGGAGAGTTTGCTGGCCAATTAAGAACAGGGATACCATGGTCCTTCAACCAGGTACTGGTAGCTTTGGCACTGTGTGCAGGTGCCAAGTCCTGTTGGAAAATGAAATCTGCATCTCCAAAAAGTTGGTCAGCTGCAGGAAGCATGAAGTGCTCTAAAACTTCCTGGTATGTGGCTGCGTTGACCCTGGACCTCAGAAAACACAATGGACCAACACCAGCAGATGACATGGCACCCCAAACCATCACTGACTGTGGAAACTTTACACTGGACTTCAAGCAACGTGGATGAAGTGCCTCTCTTCTTTTCCTCCAGACTCTGGGACCTTGATTTCCAAAGGAAATGCAAAATTTACTTTCATCAGAGAACATGACTTTGGACCACTCACCAGCAGTCCAGTCCTGTTTCTCTTTAGCCCAGGCAAGACGCTTCTGACGCTGTCTGTGGTTCAAGAGTGGCTTGACACAAGGAATGCGACAGCAGAAACCCATGTCTTTCATACGTCTGTGTGTGGTGGTTCTTGAAGCACTCACTCCAGCTGCAGTCCACTCTTTGTGAATCTCCCCCACATTTTTGAATGGGTTTTGTTTCACAATCCTCTCCAGGGTGCAGTTATCTCTCTTGCTTGTACACTTTTTTCG